TAGGAGAAAAGGAGACAGGAGGGGAGAAAGAGGAAATAAAAGAGGGAAGGAAACAAAAAATGACTAAGACCTAGACAAGCATAACTAAACTAGAAATTAAAAAAAAAAACGCCTGTAGATGGGTGGCCAGGTCTGTTTGGTCGATAAAAGTCAGCAGAGCCAGACGGGCCTGGTCACGTCGAAAAACACCTCCTCTCGGAAAGAGCTAATCGTCTACGGTCACGCACTTTAGTCCCAGGAATTTATATTCCTTAATCAGCAAAGCCTGCTGCGTAGTGAATGTGGGACAGTGTACTATACGATGCTCAAGTGTTTCGCAGGAGCCATGCGCACAACAGACTGTCAACACGCCTTTGATGGTTAAATCATTCGTGCAACAGGACAGAGTTCATGTAGCAGTGCTCTGGAACAACGAGGCAAGCCAGAGCCATGAACATTGGGAGGGAACGATGTGTTCGACAACTGCGGTCATGCCCGATGGCAATGTACATTTGTACCATGCAATGCTACTGCCATATTACTTGCATTGTGAAGCCTGTATGCAGGACATGCGTGTTTGTAAAGCAGGAAAGTTATTTTCAATGCATTTCTAAGCAGGAGAACTTATTTTCAGGGTATTTCCAAGCAGACACATGGCGAAGTGGCCCAACATCTGCTTGCCACGCAAACTGCTTGGGTTTGATCTTCATTTGTACCAGATTTTTTTTATTTGAAGTTTTCACAGACAGAAGTGCTTAACAGTGCAAACGACAAGAGGGGATATAAAAAACAAGAACAGAGCGCTGTTCAGCGCTCTGTTTCCGTTTCTTTTATTAACTCCCGTTGTTTGCATTGCTAAGCACTTTTTCGTCTACCATGCAGCACCAACCAGCCCAATCAAGCACTTTGTTAGAATCTTTTGCAATTTTGTAGTTACAGACAAGATGGTTTTTTACTTGCAACCAACAATGCAGCCACCAACATTTCTGTAAATTAAGCTCTTTAGCCCTTTTGCATTAAGATAATGAATTTAATGAGTTTTTCACAAGCCTCATTTTCCGGCCTTGCCGTAAACTAGAAGAGGCGACATTGCACTTGCTGTAAACAGACATTCAAAAAATGACAGCCAAGGTCAAGATCTTTCAACCCACTCAGCTCTCACTATGGTTTTCAGAATGGCTACAGCAGCAAGCAATGCTCCCGGCTCGGGTAAGACCACTAAAGCATGAGCACTTTTGCTGAAAGACAGAGTGGGATGAAAGTAGGTAGCAAGGGTTCGACAGGAGCCCATGAACCATGCATGCGCCTGAAAGAACACAATGTCTTGACTCACGCACACCCGCACGCATGGACAAGTCATCAAAAATACCACTACTTTTCAGATATCACGTGACATAAGCTCATCACTGTGGGCACATGAAACGGCACGAACAACTACAAGCAACGCAGCTGTGACCATTATATGCTTGCTTAATTGGCTTTCTTCGGAGTCTATGCAGCACCCTGATCAAATAAAGACGCATACAAGGCGATGATAAACAGTTTATTGTCACTTGTCCATAATAAAAATCTAATATAAAAAAAGAAAACTAGATTGAAATGAACAATTCATGGTGATCTGATAACATGCAGCATGATACTAACAATGAACCTGTTATGACGACCATATCGCACCTATTGTTCTCTCACCAACGGTTGCGACCACCCCCACTGCCTCCCCAACCTCCACCACCTCTTCCTCCTTGTCGGAATCCACTGCCGCGGCTGCCACGGTCCATTTTAGGAGCCCATTGAACATATCTGCAAAGCTAAAGCAATTGAGTGCAGTCTTATGAGCTTCGGTGCATCTTTTTGTAAACTTGTATGAGCTAAACACAGTTACTTAAGACAAAACAGTTCTGGGTGTTGTTGGTAAACTGTCACAAGGCACAACTAAATGTCGGAAAGACTGTTAATGTCCATCACTGTGGGTGTGTTCATTATGTAGTGCAAATAATAATTTCCGACAATTCACATGCCAACTATGAAGTGATCGTGAGTCGTACAGTAGTGGGCAAATTTAGATTGATTCTGGCTTCCATGGGTTCAAACAAATGACACTGTAGCTTCACAGAAGACAAGACTGCTTGTCGAAACATTTGCTTTGACCCCTTATGTTAACATATTTTTCATATTTTCAAGCCTCCATCTTTTAAGGGTCAGTTTAGTTCACCTGCACCAATCCGAACTGGTTCACAGCTGTGCACGAGAAGTTCAGAACTTGTGCAGCAGGAGTTCAGCGGTGCGGCATCACAAGTGAATGACAAGGTGGAATCCTTATTTTTGTTCGCTTAATTTAATGAGGTGCAAGCATCTTGGCAAAACACGCCGCATTTGCAGAGGTATGTACAGTACCTACGTCGAATGGTATGTTGTTTGTTAAGCTGTGCATGCGCCTGCACCAAACCAGCGCCTTCAGGGCAGAAGGTACGGGAAAGTCATGAACTAGTTTTGGTGCTGTACCTGTCCTGCGCTTTTTGAAATGAATGGCACGATTTAGAAGGTGCCATTGCTGCACCACTGAGATGAATGGCGAGGTGCAGCACTTTGTAAAATCGATCGTGTGGTGCAGGCGAATCAAATAAACCCTTAAGCACACAAGCCTCTTAGCGTTTCACCCTCATCGAAATATGGCTACAGTGGCTGGGATCAAACAGTGTGTTGTTGAGCTCAGCAGTGCCACACAATCTAACTAATAGTGTTAAAGTTTCAACATTATTGAAGTGTAGATTCCATGCCACGGTAGGCAGGCAATGCTTGTAGCCAATCTAAAGCACCTCTCCACGATATGCGCGGTAAAACATTCACAAATACAGCATTACATGTGTGAGGTTAGAGATGACCTGTTGTAGTGGACATTCAAGATGTTTCAACGTGCTTGCAGAGTGGACATTCGGGGGTAGTCATCCTGTCATTGCATGGCAGTCTGGAAAAACCAAGTAACTCACCAGATATGAATGCATGAAATCAATGCATATCAATGCATGAAGTTTTCCAAAGTAAACAAATAACTCAGTTAATTAGTAAACAGCAGTATTTATACATATATGTAGTGGTACCTCATACATGTATATCACTCAGGGCTGCTTCTTCACAAGGCATGTCATGTAGCAGGTTCCTTGCCCATTGTACACATTTGCTTCCATGTCAGGTGGGCCAGGAGGCTGTGGCAGAAAAAGAAGTATTTCTCATTCATGTGACGCTTCCTTTATCACACTATAGCAAAACCAGACCCATAATTATGTGATGTTTCTCAAACGCGACTGCAGTAAACTATTAACTAGTAGGTTTTTTGCACTAATATATGGGCTAGCTAAGAAGACACATGCGAGGCGATAGTGATTTATTTGCCTTCTTTTATCGCAACGGCCTGGTTGGTGTTACCTGATGATAGAATTTCAGAATTAACTATTGAGTCAGCGACTCGTTCCCACGTGACGCCATGCACGCCGCAAGTAATGCACGTTTTTCCGTTTACAGATTGAGACGTTGAACAATTTTAAAATTTAATACTGCAATGCGCTACCACCGTGTGACGCCTACGCAGTCATTGGCAAAAAAAAAAAACAAAAAAACTACATGAACCAGCTAGCCCCAACTAGCCCAACTAGCCCCGCAAGCAGCCATCCTTAAAAAACTGAAGTGGTTTCTACTCACTACCTCGGGCTTGCAACTGGTGTTCATCCGATGAAAGCTTCAACGGTCGCTTCGTTCCCCGAAAGTCGCTTGAATTCCCTTCGCGAAAACATTTGAACGAGCCAAAATAAACAGAATGAGAAAGAATGTGCCGGTCGGCAGAGGCTCGAAGTATTTACAGCGAAACGAAACAGTCCGAGACACCTCCGAACGTACCGCGAGCCGTTACCGGCCGTCGCAACCGTTGGCCGCTGAAAACTTCGAAATGAGGATAGTGATGTCGATAGGCTGGTACTGACATCGAGTCAGCTGCAGCAAAACTATTACAAAAAGTTGATGACGCAGCACATGTTAAAAAAAACTACTTGTTAGAAGAACAAAATGTTTTTTATGTGTAGCGATACGCAAACATGTAGTATTTGATCATTCTAAAATAAAACTTGGTCCCGACGAAGGCGCCTCTACAAGAAAGTGCAATTGCTCGAGTGGCGAGAGATGTTAGTAAATCCACTCTGGGTGTTTGAAGCAGAAACGCGCCGTAGTTGATTTTTTTTCGCCCCCTACAGGTGCGCACCGCTATGGAGATATTCCGTGCTTCGGCTACACGAGTGCAACGTATATTGAAGCGCGGCTCACAAATTCGCTTCCCCTTAAGCATTAATACGATCTCTTATTTGCACAGCTGCGCACACAGCAAGAGAACGCGCTCCAAATTCTGCAACACGCGGTTCATTCCGTTAATTGAAACGGCCAACGTCGCACACGCACTTGCAAAACGCGCTGCAGGCGACATGCACCACGGACGACATAAAGCCCTCACGGGTAAATCACAACTACAGGGGCAAATTTCTTTGCCAAATTTGGCAGCAATTCGGCAACAATCATTCTAAAGTCTGGCAACTGAGTAATGCAAAGCCAAACAAAATTTTGCAATAATCACTCCAAAGTCTGGCAACTAAAATATGCAACGCCAAACAGAATTGTGCTGGTGGCAGTATATATTATCATGCTGTGAAAACGTAATTTCAATGACGGCGTGAACGTAGGATATGTTTAATTCACGTGTGATTGTTGCGCTATCTACGTAGTTTAATGGCGTCACTGGTACAGGGGAGCACTTGAACTTGAGAGTTCCCGGGGCCTGACTGTGCTAACTAAACGCAAAAAAAAAAAAAAACAGTCTCACACACAAAGTAAACAAACAATCAAAATTCACTTCATAAAATTTTCTTCATTTTGTATTACAATTGCGCTAATTATTATGTAGTTTTTTATTTTCAATTGGTTTAGTACTTATTGCTGGCTTTAGCACAGAACACCTACCAGTGGCTATTGCAGTGGCTGAAACAGCCGGTTAATCCGAAAATGGCGTCTTCGTAGGTGTGTGCGGCGTCTGAGGTCTTGTGGCAAAACGTCGAGCTGAACTTCAATGTTTTTTTGAACGCGTCACAGGGAGATGGCAAACTATGCCACTGCATCGGGTGGTCCTGTACGGCCGCCGAGAACGTTCAAGACAACGAAGGATTCGGTAACATTTTCTTCTTACCAATGCTTGTTCTGTACCGTTGTAGGCGCGTGCTGTCAGAGTAGGACTGTGCATTTTTTAGACCTTCCACGGTGCATATTTCGCTGCACGCTGTGGTACTTTAAGTGAACTGGACGAGTACAGAGCGTGTGTGATGTTACACCTGATAGGTGATTGTCGACTCCTGCTCGTTAGAATTTTATCTGTGGGTCGCACACGAAGTACTGAACACGCCCTTTCTGCTGTTTTCATTTCAGAATGGCCTGCTTATATCGGTTATCAGGTCGCTCTCTGCCAGGTATGGCTTACATGTCGTGTCACAGGGTATTGATATTTCGTAGGATGGATGAGCTTAATTTCACTGCTGTCTACTTATGGCTTCGCTTCCACCATTTTCTCCAACCTTGACAGTCAGAACAGTGCCGATCGTGATCGCGAGAAAGCGAAACTTGAGAAGGACTTCAAACGTAGCGATCAAAAGTTGGATGACTTGGTTGCACGTGAGTAATAAGTTTCCTCGGCGCTCGCTTAGGTTTATTTATAAATTGTGGATGCGTTAAGAGCAACATTTTGATTTTACCACGTCGTGCACGTATGTTACGCAATTTTTAAACGCTTATTTGGATCATAGGTGTGTGGATAAGGTTATTCACTAAATTTAGTACGAAATGTAGAATTTCTTTTCGCCTACTAATTGAGCAAGTAACGTCATTTTTGCAGAAAACAAGGATGACCTCACGCGTGCAATGCAAGATTTCAGTAAGATTTCATCTAGAATATCAGGCAAGTATTTTTCTTTTTTGCGGTGCTTACTTTCAACACTTTTACGCAGTACTGAAATATAGGCACCGAAATTACAGCATCACGAAGCAAAGTGCAGTGTATCAAGGAAAAGTTGACAACTTGCAAGACCCTTCTTCACTGCAAGCGAGATGAACTAAAGAAGCTTTGGCTAGAGTCTGTGGAGCACAAGCATGTTCTCCAGCTTCTTGAAGAAATGTAAGTTGGTAAAACATGAAAGGGCTAGTGATCTGCAAATATGTGTCATTGAATTTGATTGTGAATACCAGTATTCATTTTTATTGTTCTGATGGCTCAGTATTCCTGCTTTTATTTGCAGTGAATCATTAGTGGAAGTTCCAGACAAGATTGACGCTTTTCTCAGTAAAAAGCAATATCTTCATGCCACTCAGTTGCTTGTGTCTTCCGGTCAGTAGAACTTGCTTGGTGGACTTGTTCATATGTTGCTTCTCACCACTGTCATCTTCATCTCGTTCATTTGCAGTTAATCTTGTGGAAGGAAGTCTCGAAGGTGTTGAGGCCCTTAAAGATGTGAAAGGAAAGCTTATCTTCAAAAAAGAGGTAAGCTGTTGCTGCAATTGAAGGTAGATACTTGGGCTTGTTGATATGGGACTTTTGCTTTTTCTGTGTAATAGAAACTGGGGACAAATAGGCAGAGTAGATTGTTTGTGGGTTAAACATACCAAAGCCATTTGGGCTGTGAGAGGTGATGTAGCGGGGGAATGGGGATAATTTTGACCACCACAGGCTCTGACGTCACAGAGTGCATGAGCTTGTAGCATCTTGCGTCAATCAAAATGCAAACTTATCCTGCTCGAAACAGTAATTTTCGTTAGTGATTGCTCCAAGCCTGCTCTAAAATGACGCTGAAAGAATGAGAAGGATGAACTTTTACTGTTGGACTGACTTTAGGTACTAAAGAAATGGAAAAGAATTTGTGTACTATCGTGCCTGTGTGCAAAATTATCGGCTATGATTTAATTTCTGCGACAAAACTGGCTTATTAAGTATCTAGCCCATTTGGCTTTTCTTTTTCTTTCTCGGCTAGACATTCAGGCTAGTGTGGTGAAATGTGAAAAATGAGCAGGATTGCGTTTATCTCATACCGATGATCTACTGCTTATTTGGCAAGTTATATGGGACTGCGGTTGCTTCTAAAATGTGGCACTCAGCTTACCAGTTTGATTCGATTTTTGCAACAAATACATCTGCTTTAAATTATAGCTCATTTCACAGTACAATTTTGAGAACCTGTCATGTTTATTTCATGAAATTTATATTGATTGTTGTCAGTTAAATATATTTCATAATAAATATAATTTTGCAAGATGCTTCAACAATGCTCTGAACTCCAATTAATGTATGGCAAGCATCTGCTCCTAAAGCATCAATAGCTGCTGCAAAATAGCATTTTTTTTTTTGTTTTGAAAACACTTATGGCTGCTCCAAATCAGTACTTTTCCTGCTTCAAAGAGTCAAAAATCAGTTTCATTACTGCTATTGTGATGGCTAGGCCGATTCAACGTTGCTTCCAATATATTTTATGTGTAAAAGCTCGTGGAATATATGAAACTGGCCCATAAAAACAAGGGGCCAATTATTTGCAGTGAAACATGCTTGGCACTTGCTGGAGAGGCTTGTTATACTCGTGTTTTATAAGGCAGAACTTCTTAGACAAAGAAGTCAAAGGATTTCTGTCTGTGAGCATGTTGTCCAATTATAGATACTTATTCAGTTTCGGAACTCTCTGCTTCACTTTCGGGGAGCAGGCGGCCGGCTACAGTTCCCGCCCCTGCGGCGCTGCAGTCCAACTTTGCGCCAAGTAAACGAGGGTCGTCGCTACAGCTAGGCGCAGTGTAGCCGGTCAGCAGTGTAACACAACACCACGACTTTTTAATTTAGGCACGAGGAGTATAAAGTCAAGCCTAGATGTGTATGTAGCATCTTTCCAGGTCACTTTAAAAATAATAGCTTGCGTAAGCGGCTAGGCGAGCATTTGTTGATTAAAAAGCCGTTTTATCGCCCTGTAACTTCTTGTTCTTCCAGGTAGTAGAAACAAAATTTGGAGCTCAATTGTATAAGGTGCATCTCAACAAAGCCTCGGTAAAACCTGCGGCTCATCTGGTTCCAGCCTGGTTGTTTACAAGTTATTTTCGCGAGTCTAAGGAAACGGATCTTTGAGGCTGTGCAGCAATAAGCACCTAAGCTGGCCGTACTTTGAAGTTAAAACTGAGCAATTATAGTTAGGTATCAGCCACGTTTAAAATCCCACTGAAACGACGCTATTTGTCTATTCAGCTGGTATAAACAAGTGCATTTTCTTCTTCTGAAGTATTCAGATTTATGGGTGTCTATGAGTGAATAATACTTGGGATCATTAAAAAAATTCAAATTTTGTGAAAATAGGAAAACATCAGTGCATTGATACACAAAAACACTTGTCACTATCACACACTAGTCATGACCATTCGAATTTTAAATAAGTGCATAGATGAATTCCTGTAACAATTTCGGCTTGTGAGGAGTAAACAAAGCATAAGCCAATCAGCTGTGTACCTATAACGATCTGTAGATATTGCTTTTGTTGCATTATGGAGGTACAATGAAAGGACACTTTCTTCACTTCAAGTAAATCTTCAACTAGATCATTGAGAGTCGTTGGAGATGCTGTCTTCATTTTTTCCCCCCCCATTTAGCCGGCGTATCTCAAGTTTTCTCCGTTCTCGAGCGGCAGTGGCACAGATCAAGCGTTTTCTTAATTCGCTGGTTGCAATTTGAACCTTGTTCATGGTTGTTTTTGCCATTCTGTTTTTTTTTAGTGTTCTTGCTAAAATGACACAAGACACACATACCCCAGTCATACCCACACAGTCCTTGTAATGAATATTTCTTAGCGGTGCCCTTTTTCCTTTTGCTGTGCCAGTAGATATATTCTTTGAATTCTGCATTATAGAAGATTATTACAGGAGGTTTTTCCGCCTCCTCAAGGATCGCCGAACTCTAGTTGCAGGGAAGCTTAAGCACACTTTTTTCCAATTGCTCAAAAAAAAAAAGGGAGTCCTCCAAAGGAGCGCGTACTTGTTGCTGGGATTCTTCTGGTAGATCGCAAGGCAGGAGCAGTTGGTTGTTGTACAGGTACCTTTTCTTTTGCGGCTTTATGACAAGTACCTTGGGAGGTTTGCAAATAATCAAGGTAGTGCATCATTCCTCAATGCCCAAGCACCTTGGTTGATTCAGACTTCTCGATTCATGATATGCTTATGTCTTCAGGAAGTCGCTTTCTCGAAAGTGAACATCGTCCACCTTGCACGTCTTTCCCAAACTTCCTCATGGATCTTTCCCACTTATGCAGTAACAGCGGGTCGTACGGTGAAGAGATGTGCCATTTCTCAGGGCTTTTCCTGTACCCACTGGTGCGCCCGGGCACAAAACACATCGCTGTGGTGTCCGGAAGGTTTGAGCTACGGTGCACTGGACAGTAGCAACAGTAGAATTAACCTCGGGAGACGTACACAAATGCTCGATCTGTCCACACGTGATCAATGCTTAGATCCTGCCTGCTATGTCAACAATCTGAGAGTTTTCTACGTCATAGATGTCTGACTGTCTTGGTCACTGTAGCTGTCAAATTGTCTTCAGAAGACCGTGGAAGCATGCTACATGTACAGTAAGCAAAGAGAGATACACACAGAAAAAAAAAGTGAGACCGAATATTGACACGGAACACACAAAATTGCCCCGCAGGGGCGCCTGTGAAAGCAGGCGTTTGTTGTGTAGCGACACCACGGACCCGAGCTAACGGGGGAATTTCTACTCCCTCTCACGCCTAGCCGTGCGTGGCTTTGCGGTGTCCGGGGAAAAGGGGATCCTGGGGGTTGAGCCGACGCTGGGTGATTGGACCATTAAGGCCCCCGGCAGAGGCAACACGCCCCATTGGCCCCGGCTTCACGTAGATGGCACCCCTGGGCTGACCCACCCAGGGGAAATCGGCAGTCGCCTTTTCCTATCTCTCTCTCCCTACATCTTCGTCTTTCTTACTTTTTTAGCTTTCCTATCTACTTCTCTCTTCTGCTTACTTCCAATTTTCTCGGCGGCAAGGGTTAACCCTGTGCAAATAGCCTACCTCGGCCTGGGCACATTGGGTTATAGCAGAGTTGTACGGCTGACGTCTGCAAGCTTTCAGCATCCGCAAACTTGCAGCGTCCCCTCGTTGGGCTCCGTTGTGGGTGGCCGCCAACGCTGCTGAACAACATACAATTAGCATGCACAAAGCATTCCCTTTACTTAGTGATCGTGCCTCCTCAAAGCGGGTACGCACCGAAGATATCAATTTGTTCATCCGGCCAAGACGGATCTTTCCTCATTTCCACGTTATACACTGCGAAAAAACTAACAAGCAAGCCAGAACTGTATCCCCCTTCATAGTGGCTAGGTGCTTAACCGAAACTCTCGGTGCCGGGTACAAGGTTACCAAAATGGCCAGTGGAGATCTACTCCTTGAGATACGTGACAAAGACCAATTCGATAAACTGAACACCCTCACAACGTTTGGAGACACACCCATCAGTATTACGCCACACAGGTGCATGAACTCATCTCGCGGGGTCGTATCGGACGTAGATTTGCTTGACCTGACCGAAGCTGAACTTCTGGAAGGATGGAAGAGCCAGAACGTGACAAACGTACAGCGTATTAAGATCAGAAGAGATCAAAAGGAAATCCCAACCAAACACTTAGTACTGACCTTTGCTTCGAGCGATTTGCCGGAAACCATTCAGACTGGGTACACAAAGACAACCGTGAGGCCATATATTCCCAACCCCCGCCATTGCTTCTAATGTCGGAGATATGGCCATGGCTCGCAAAGCTGTCGTGGCCGGAAAACGTGCTCTGTGTGGAGTCGGGGGCCATGCGTCTGACAACTGCGAAGCACCTGCACACTGTGTCAACTGTGGCGGTAATCATGCCGCGTACTCACGTTCCTGTTCTTTCTGGAAAAAAGAAAAAGAGATCATCACTTTAAAGATAAAAGAAAACATTACATTTAAAGAAGCAAGAAAAAGAGTCTCGCCATTTTATGGCCCCACATATGCTGATGCGGCGCGCCAGGGGGAAGTGTCGCAGCAGCCCTCGCCACTCCTTCGGCCTGCGCAGAGCGAGCCATTGGCTGTGGCGCCTGCCCCCAAGGCGGCAGTAGGTGAGTCTACTCCGCCTACTATTGAACAGAGACCAGAGACTCCAGGGTCTTCGGGTCTCAAGGCCTCACCTCGCCAGGCGAGGCCCAAGCTTCGAAAAACCAGCTCACATGAGCGGGCATCGAGTGCCTCCGAGGAGACAATGGATACGGCGGCGCGGCTCTCTGGAGCGCGCCAAGAGAACTAAAAAGCTCGTAACAGGGCCTGATAATAGCCCTGTTACTTGAGCTCGACCTTTCAGCTTAAACAAGTCACTCCCTTAACGTACACACAGCACTACTTTACTTTCAATATGGAAACAGAAATTATACAGTGGAACGTCAGAGGACTGCTTAAAAACCTCGACGACGCCCAAGAACTTTTATA